CCATCCCGACCCACTGTGCCTAGGAGGGGTGGCAGCCCCGCTAGAGCTGTGTTTACTCCTGGACTCTCCACTTAGCTACAAAACCCGGAGTGGGGTGGCCTAAGTTGCTTCTGGAGGGTTACAGGAGCAAAGCAAAGTAATTTCTCCCCAGAGGGACCTTTGACCACACTGAACAACAGGAGCAGCTACAGACTCAAGCTGTGTGCTTCCTCAAAGAGCTAAGAAACAGGGCAGGTGGAGACGGCGCCCCGGAGGAGCAGAAGATACACATTATTTATATTAACTTTGTTTCCAGGCACTGTTGTCTTCAAGATTTCTCTTGTTTTAATTAATTAAGCTTACTGGTACATTTTCAATATGATCACTTTCACCTAGGGACTTTGTATCTGTACTTATTGCGATTCTTTTTTTTTTCTATTCCTTTATCCTTCTTTCACTCCCTCTTCCCCTCATCTATTTTGCCCCCTGTTTTTTCCTGTTTCTCTTTTCTCCTTTCCCTTCCTTCTCCCTACGCCACCCTTGTGCCCTCCCTACTGAGCATTTTCTTCCTATTTCGTGATGTCTGTTACGTATTCTGGTCCTTATTTACACTTCCATTTCTCACCTCAGAGAAACAATGCAATATTTAAACACATGTGTTTGATTCGCTTAAGAGTGTGGTCTCAAAGTCCACCCATTCACTAGTAAAAAAAAGGTTTCTTAGAGCTTCCTTAAATAGCCTCAATCTCAGAGGCACAGGTGCTAAATCTGAAATCAGGCTAAGTGTCCACTGAGGCCTAACAGGGGGCAAACACCAGGCCCCCAGGGAGGAGAAGCTCGGGAAGCCACGTCACTGACAGAGGCTGACGGAGAGCAACCGTGAGCAGAAGAGGGTGGACAACAGGACATTGGCCGTGACGAAACCTAAGTAGCCAATAAAGGCATGGAGGGAGGCTGGACCTCACTAACCCTGGGAAACGACACAGTAAACCAGTGTTAAAACTCGGGTCCCCTCGAACCAGGTTGCACCCACATCCCAGTGATTGACCCGGTTGTGGAGAAACAGAAGGTGGGACAGAAGTGTCCCTGATGACACAAGTCACTGACCTCTGCACGGTGGCAGCATTTAGAAAACGTCTTGACCACTTGGCCTCATAGCCACCCACAGCCAGGGGGAGGAAGTGGCCAGCAAGAGCCGGAGCACACAGCGGCAGGGTGGGGTCCTGCAGGGCAGCCCTGCAGGGGAGACAGCACTGATGGCCTGGGCAGGGCCGGCCCAGCTCACCGGGCAGCAGGACCAGGGCTGGACAGGAGAGGTCACCAGAGACGGGTGGAGGCTACAGCCGCAGGTGAAGCAAGTCAGGTTGCAGAGCCCCAGCGCCCAGGGGTGGGGAAGATTGAGAGACCGGCGGCTCAGACCACTGTGCCCTGCGGCCCCAGAGTTGCAGGCCAGGCCCCGAGACCCTGCTCCCTGTGCAGGTTCCGGAGGGGCCTTCTGCCCCTCTCGAGCTCCAGGGGCTGCTGGAACACGAGGCTGGTGCATGCACCGTCCCACCATGCTGTCATCACATGGCTGTCCCTTTCCCGTGTGTGGTGTCACCTTGTCCTCCCTGTCTGTCACCCCTCTCCCTTTCTACGTGACATGCGTTGTTGGTCTAAGCCGACCTCCCTGAAGTTTAATCAGTTCCTCCCGCCCGGGCTGTTTCCCAGTGCAGTCGCATTCTGAGGCCCCAAAGGCAACAAACATTGGGAGACCCCTTGGTGGCCCTGGCTCTGTGCCCAGGTGAGAAGCCTGATGCAGGCACCCAGCGGTGAGCCCTCCCTGGTCCCCAGACATCTGCCACGGGCTGCCATGACCCCCACCCCTTGCCCCATGGCTCTCGGGCTGTCAGGGCCGCACATCCTGGTGTGACTCAGCGCAGCCTCTGCCGCTGTCAGGGCCAGCACCAGGCCCGGTCTGCAGGTGTCTGGGCCTCAGCTGGGGCGGGGAAGGGCCCTCAGCTGTGCAGCTGTCCATGGTGACTGCCCCACCAACCTCCATCCCTGGGTGTTCCTGGAATCCTGGCTGATGTAACTGTCCCCACCCAGAGCCCCAGAGCTCAGGGACACCTGATGGGCTCCAGAGTGGCCAAAGTCATCTAGAACCCCCAGAGCTGGAAGTCCCCTCCCTCACACAGCAGGAACCGGTCATCTGAGCCAGTTCCAGTCAGGAGACTGAGGCTGGCCAGGGGGCCCTTCCTGCAGGGACAGCCAGGCCTGCCTGGCGCCCCCCTGACTGTCCCAGACTGAGGGTAACAGTGGACACCGTGTTTGGAAGTAGCCACACTAGGGTTCTGATTCAAGCCAGCCCAAAGCCCCATCTGGAAGGGAGGAGAGAGTACGCAGGAAGGGTCTGAGCCCGGTCAGCTGTGGAGAGGGCACAGCTGAACAGCAGAGCCCCTGCGAGGTACCTACCATCTGCCTTGGCACCTCTTCCTGTGCTGGAGTCGAGAGTGGCAGCATTAATAAGGGAAGGAATAGAGTCAGGCAGGCACCCTCTGTCTGCAATGCCCTTCTGACCCTCGCTCATATGGTGAACTCCTACCCATCCCTCAAGACCCAGTCAAATTTCATCCTGTCCTGCCTGCTTGAATAGTATCACCACACAACTAAGGCTTGTCTGCCTCCCCTCCCCAGTCCCCAGCTCTGGGCTCTGAGCCTGTGCACTGAATGGTGCTTGGAGGCCCCAGCATCTGGCCAGACTGCTCGCTTCTTGAATCTGACCAGAAAGCCCTATCTATCTTCAGATCCAAGCACACAAGGCTAGGGAGGGGAGGGGCAGGGTTCCTGGGATTCTGCACTGTGCCCAGCTGGATGATGAGGAATGAGGAGAGAGGCTAGGCCTCCAAACATTCGCTCATCCAGGCCCCAGGTGCCGTGGCTGCCACCTGCCAGGGTGGGGCCTGCAGCCTGGCGCCACGTATCCTCCACGAGTGACTGGATCTCCCCGAGCATGGGCAGATGGGCAGGCTCTGCAGCCCCAGGTCCCTTGGAAGGACACATAGCTGCTGCCTGGCTCTCCAGCCCTGGGCCAGCCCCGAGTCCATGCGTCAACCCCAATGCTACCCAGCCCTGCCCCAGGCAGCCTCAGCTACACCCTCTTCGAGCAGGGGACCTGGATCTGACCCCTCGGCCACCAGGGCTGCTGCCCCCCAGGTGGCAGGTGATCGGTGTTTGTCTTTTGCCCCTAGCACCTGGCTTAAGACTGCATCACCGTTTCAAGGAGTGCTGCAGGATGGGTGCTATGTGACAGGAGGAGAAACTGAGGCACAGATAGGCAAGGTTGGACTCAGATCTCAGCGCTTGAGAGACTTGGATACTTGCCTTTGTCTCCAGACCGCAGGTGCTGGGCCAGGTCCTTCCTGCAGCCTGGGTTCCCTTAGATCACTAGCCTGGGGATCTGCAGGGAGAGGGTAGGAGAGGTCCCCAGAGGTCCCCAGAGCTGCCCATAGTAACTTCTGGTCCTTTGAAACCCCAGCCTGTGTCCACCATCCCAGAGAGAGCGGAGCCAGGATAGTGCAGATATGACTCTTCCTCCACTCCTTACCTGGTCACCTGGCCACCTGACTGCCCAAGGCCCTGGGCCACCATGGAGGGTGCCCAGGTATAAGTCCAATCTAATGGGAGGGACCTGTCCAGTCCCCAGTGAGTGCTGCCTGCTTCCCCTGGCCACTCAGTGAAGGACAGAGCCAAGGGCACCCCCATGGGTGATGCAGGCTCCTGCACACTCTATGTGCCCCACCTGGGCCCAGCCTGGGTGGGCACTGTGGTCCACACCACATGGCCGGGGCCTTCAAGTATCCAGGGAGGACCTCAGAAAGTCCTGGGGCTCCCTCATCCTGGGGGTGAGGTCAGTCAGTGCCTGGTTCCCACTGGATGCACTGCTCAGTGAGGGTGCTGAGAGCCAAGAGCCGGGTCCTGCACAGGTGGCCGGGGCTGCATTAGGGAGCAACTTCTGCAGGAGCCTTGGGTGCACACCCTCAGTCTCCCACCCTCAAGCCAGGCTCAATTCTCCTCGATCATCTGGACCACACTTGCTGGCGGAGGGTGTCTCCAGCAGAGCGCAGGCCCCTGTGCACAGCAGCACAGCTCCCAGCAGCTAATTCTATGCCCCTCAGCAGATCCCAGATAAAGAAAGTGTGACGTTTGCACACAGTGGAGCACTACTCTGCCATAAAGAAGGGCACATGAGAGTCCTTGTGGAAAAATGGATGCCGCTTGAGATCGTGATACTGTGTGAAATCAGTCACACAGGTTAATAACTGCCACTATCTCATCATGAAAGGTAGAGAGCAGGACACAGGGAGAGAGAATTTTTGCAGAAAAGGACCAGGAGATTGATGGGAAGTGGAAGAGGACGTGAAAAGGGTTGGGATGTGTCTGCACACGCGCCAGCTGCACACGGGGTGTACACTGCAAGCATGGATGGACAAAAATTAAAAATGAAACAGACTAGTATAAAATCCAGTTCTTACTTTTAAAAAAGAGATGCAGTGTTCGTTTGAAAAAAGAAAAAAGAGAAACGTAACCTGGCGGAGTTGCATGGCCCCAAACGTGGGAGTTGCCAGGTGGGGTGGGCAGCAGGCTGTGGGGACGCTGTGCCTCGCCCGGGCCTGGACCACTCCAGCAGGTGGTTCTCAGGGCCGAGGCATGTGTCCTGTGTTTATCTAAATGGACTCAATAAAGTGTAAATAATGCATTTATTAAAAGGCAGTCAATAAAAAATACTTGGCTGATAAAAAGCACCAAGAAAGAATTTCTTCCTCCTGCTGTGGCCTGATTGAGGGGTGGGGCAGCCCCTCTCCAGGTCCCAGGGGGGCTGGGACACCGCACAGCTCTCATCTCTGTCCCTGGTGCAGGGGTGGAGGAAGCGAACTCTGCCCCAGCCACCGCCCTGGGCTCAGATGAGTCTGTGGGGAGCAGAGCAGGTGGAGCTGGAGCTGGAGTGGGCCTCCCCAAACAAACACTGCGGGAGAGGAGAGGCCAGGCAGCATGGTATAAACTGACTGCACAGGGCGGCCAGTGCATCCAGAGCCAGGCATCCCTGAAGCACACGTCGTCATGGAGACCAGAGCGCTGTGGCTGCTGCTGCTGGTCGTGGCCTTGGGGTCCCTGGGTTGGGCTGACCCGTACATGGGGCTGTGTGAGTACCACGCTGACCACCCAGGGGACAGGGTGGGCATGCAGGGGCCCTGGAGACAGGGACTCGGAGAGCTTCAACATCAGTTTAACAATTGGCTTTTATCCTGTGCACATTTTGCTTGCGGCGACCGTAGCTCATGGAGTTTACCATCCCCATATCCCAGGCGGGGAGACTGAGGCTTAGAGGCAGCTTCTGTACCTAAAGCAGCCTCTTTGCTCAGTGTGGAATCAGGGCGCCCTTGCCTTCTTTGCCAGGTGTCTAAAGCACAAGGTGGGTCATCACTCCCAGAGACTCGGGGGCAGGATCAGGGGCAGCCTGAGTAGCTGCAGGCAGACGTGGCCTTGGCTGGCATCTGCAGAGCAGGGAAGGCAGCGCTTCCCAGACTTGGTCTTGGGCCCCCCAGAGCTGAGTGAACCCCGCTGCCCTACTGGGAGCCAGACGTAGTGGAGCCCGGAGCTGGCAGGATCAGGGATGGGGGATCAGGGATTGGTGTGGCCGGGCCGGGCTGCAGTCACAGGGGTCTGGGGTCTTCTGGGTTCTGTTTGCCAAGGGAAAACGCAGTTAGGTGATGGGGCAGGCCTGCGTGAGCAGCGGGTGCCTGGCACAGAGTGGGGGCAGGTGGATTTCTCCCGGAGTTTAGATCTCACGGCACACTTCATTTTAAGAAAAGGGGCAGGTTTTGTCACTTGCACCAGGGTGAGGGCTCTGTTTCTGGGCTCAGGGACCCCGGTTCACATAGGTCTCCCAGGGAGGTGGTGAGAGGGAGGTGGAGAGACCTGTGCAGAGGGTCGGACCCCTGGGCTCTCTTCTTGCCATCCCGCAGGAAGCCCACCCTCCTGGGCGGAAACCTCGGCCACCAAGCATGGGTGGGGGTGGGGTGTGAAGCAAATGTCGCCCAGCGCCACACAGCCCCGAGGCAGGAAGTGCACCAAGGCTGACCGGATGTGGTTTCCACAGCGCCCAGCCAGTGTGCAGTCCCGGCTGCAGAAAGGGTGGACTGCGGCTACCCCCGGGTCACCAAGGAGCAGTGCCAGAACCGCGGCTGCTGCTTTGACAATAGTATCCGCAACGTGCCCTGGTGCTTCAAGGCTCTGCAGGACACAGGTGAGGCGGGCAGCGGCGCTCGGAGTCCTGGGCACTTGGAGGTGTGACTTCAGGGCCCGGTGGCCACACAGGCCCTGGCCTGGGCAGGATACCCGGCACCTTGTCTGTCTCCTGGGCAAGGTCTCAGGCCAGGTCAGGACTGCTGGTGGCCAGGCAGTGAAGCACCAAGCAGAAGGCGCTCCTTTAAAAACTGCCCTAGCGAGAAGGGCAAGCGAGGGGTGTGGAGAGCTGCGCTAACCCCAGAGGCTGACCAGCAAACCGACCAGAGTCCTTTGCATTCATGAGGCACTTGCAGCAGATAGAAGCTGGGTGGCTTGCAGGGTATAGTGCAGGGTAACCCCTGGGACCCTTCCCGGGAGGGGCGGGGTATGGGCAGCAGATGGTTTGCTGTCCTGGCTCATCTAGGCCCACCCTATCTTGGGTGTAGCTGCTAGTGGCCACCTGGCGTGCCCAGGTGTCAGTGCGCCTTCTAGGAAGGACACACCTATTATGCCAGGCACCTTCCTGGTTTGGCACCCAAAGAGGACAGCCGTGTCCTGGGGTACCAGGAGGGAGACTGGGTCCCAGCTGCTCTGGTCCCCAAAGATGGAGACCCCCTCCTCACCCAGAGCCCCCCCTTCCACCAATGGAGCCAGAAGAGGACCTGAGAGGTCTGGGGCTGCAGGGGGTACCGCCCAGGGCTCTTCCTGGCTGCCCTGCACTTTTGTCCCCCAAGAACATCTCCCCTGTCACCTGCCAGGCCCTCCCAGGTCCACTTGTCCCTGCTGCAGAAAGGGGTCCCAGGCTGTCCCGAGCCCACCGTGCCCTGGGGAAGCCAGGCAGCTGGGGTGGCGATGGCAGCTCACGAGCCTCTGCTTTGTCCCCAGAATGCACGTTCTGAAGCTCGCCTGCTACTGCTCTGCAAGCGGCCCCCTGCTCCCAGTGGCTGAGAGCCCCCGGTTCCCACTCCTGGCCAGCATGCTGCTGAGCTGGGTCAAAGCCAGGGCCTCATGTCCTGAAGAATAAAGATCCTGTGTCAGCATGAGGACAAGCCCGAGACCCTCCACTGCGACTCTTTATTCTACTATGTGCTGTTGCATGTGTGTGTGTGTTGGGGGAGGGGAGTATCCAGCACACCCCAGGGATCCCTAACGGGGCAAGACCCAGTGGTCCATGTGACAGGGAAGGCCTGGCCTCTCCTCTGTAAGCCAAGAAGAAGCATGTCACATCTAAATTTTAAAAATCACTAATTGCCGGGCGTGGTGGTGCAATCTGTGATCCAGCACGCTGGGAGGCTGAGGCAGGAGCATCAAAAGTCTGAGCAACTTAGCCAGCTCCTGTCTCAAAACAAACAAGGTGCTGCAGATGTGGCCCACAGCAAGGGCCCGGCTTCAATGCCCAGTGCTACAAAAACAATACTGAGTACAAAAAGCCAGCACTGTGCGTCTTGGTGAAGGTAGCAAACCCAGAACCCCCGTCAGGCTGGCCTCCTTCCTGTTTATTTGCTCCTTGATCCCGGCACTCATGACACTTGGAGGGGCCTTGCAATGTGGCTGCAGCCAGTGTCACTGGAGCAGATGCCTGGGGAGCTCACCCCATGATCCCTGCAGTGCCACCCACCCCACTGCTGGGGTGCCTGCCCCTAACCTACACTCGTCCTGTGTGGCCCCGCCCACTGTACCTACCGCTCTGCTTCCCTGGGGACTGCTCAGTTACCCCCACTCACAGCCCCAGAGCTGGGTCCCTGGTTTCCTCCCCTGGGAGAGAGACACCCTTAGCAGCAGCCTGATCTCAGACCTTGGGCTTTGCCACTCTTGTCTGGCGCTAAGGGAGCACAATCTCTTTAGGGGATGCGTCCAAGGTCTGGCTCAAAGCGACCCAGTCTGGTGGCTTGCCAGTCTGGGAATCTGAAGCCCTCCGATCGAGTCCAGTCTAGTGCCCAGCTGTGCCCCCTGCTGGCCTGGAGTGACCCTCAGGGCACCAGCTTCCTTGGTCAGGAACCCTGCTGCCTGGGCTCTGGAGCATGCATCCCTTTCAGGGTGATCACACCCAGCCTGTGAGGTGTGGCCTCATCCTACTGGAGAAGGGATTTAGTGTCCCTGTCCCCAGGCTGCTGTGGTAGCCTCGGCCTTGTGCAGGGGCAGACAGCTGAGGTCTGCTCCCTCCTTCGCTGTGGTCATTGGGAACTGTGGCGGCCGATGCCCCATGGACTCCAGGAGCTTCCTCGCCTGCACCCACCGTCCCCCAGCCCCACCCTCTCTCCCTGGACCCTGAATGTCCTGCACTGTGTTCCATCCCTGTCCCCTCCAGAGGGACCCAGACACCAGTCCACCCCAGACCCACTCCCTCGGCTGGGGGCAGCTCTGTCCTCCAGCCCTTCAGCCGCAGCGTAGACACAGCAGTGCTTGGCATTCCTTCTGGAAGTTTCTCCCACCCTCCTGCTGCCCTGGCTGCGTGGGGTGGAGCGGCTGCTGACGGGAAAGATGCGGGCACCGTACAGCGCTAGGGTGCGTTGGGAGCTGGGGTTCCCCACGGTGCTGCTCTGTTTCCAGTGGCCGAGGGGGCCCCAGGGATCTCATTTGGGAGCTCAGTCCCAGCATGGTGACGTGGATCAGAGGGAACCTTCCAGTGGGCCATGAGGTCGTCACGCTCACTGGGGGTGAGTGCTAGAATGTCGTGAGTTTCTGGAAGCTGGCTGGGAAGAGCTGGCTCACTCAAGTCCCCACCTTGCTTCCCACCATGTGATCCCAGTGAGCCGTGCTGGTGTGATGCCCCGCTCCATGCTCTTGGCCCCCAGAATTAGGAGCCCATAAATCTAAGAGTCTAGCCTTGGGTATTCTGCAAAATGCCAGGAAAAGGACAAGGGGTACAGGTTCCCTGAGGCATCCACCGTCTGAGACCTAGAGAATCCTGCACTGGGGCCCTGAGACACCCTCCGGGGACTGCCACACCCTCCTCCCACGGGCGGGACACCACAGCCACCCCTCCCTGCTCCCTGAGTTCTCCCTAGTCTTGGGGATCCCCCTGCCAGCCCTCCTGGGGCTGGGATGAGCTAAGGCACCATGAGGTAGGGGCCTGGGCGCCCTGGGCACCTCGTGTGCTGAGTCCTGGCCCTGACAGGTCTGCAGCCCTGGCTGTGCGGTAGGATATCGAGGTGCTGCTGGGTCCCCGTGCGGGTGTCATTGCGTTGCGTTTGTCCAGGTTGGGCTTGAACTTTTGATCCTCCTGCCACAGCCTCCCAGAGTTCTGGGTTTACAGATGTGCACCATGACACCAGGCTCCCCGTGTGCACAAATAAAGATTATTTTTATCATAACTCGATTTCTTTCCCCTGGAGCTCTCAGAAGCAATTCCCATCTGGTCATTCCCAGGGATTCAGCTGTCCAAGCCCTGCTGCCTCTTGGGAATGGACAGTGTGTTCAGGGACCCTTCTCTCAGCTCTTCCTGGGGTGTCACTGGGTGCCCTGTCTGCCTTCATCTCCCATTAGGAACTTGAGTGCTTCTTGCTTCTCTCTGGGCCCCAAGTCCAGAGCGTGGTTAGGACAAAAAGAGAAGAGCCTCACAGCACCCCGGGGGTGGCTGTCTTACGTGCATAAGGGCTCCCAGGGTGCCCAGCTAGGGGCGGGGAGCAGACAGGGAAGCAAGATGCAGCTCACTTGGAAATGAGACCAAACACAGAACCTCAGGCAGCGCCCTCTGCTGGCCACTGTGAGTGCGGCACCAGGGCCCCACTGCAGTCCAGGGGATGCCTCGGGCTTCTTTCTGGGTGAAATGAGGAAGCCTTGCGGATCACCCCACCACCAGAGAATGTCCACTGCCCAGCAAACCACTTCCTGGAAGATCCCCAAATCACCAAGTAGGCCCGAGTCCACCACAGGCCCTTTCTACCGCTGCCAGGGCTTCTCTGTGCCCGCTCCCTAGCTCTGCCTGCTCCCCAGCTTTGCCTGCTTCCCGAGGGAACATCCGCCTGGCTCACACACCCCATCTCCAAACCTGCCCCTGCGTGGTCCCCAGGCCCTCGACTGCCCGGGCCTCCACGGAGGCTGCACGATGCGGGGAGTTGCTGCTTATGGGGGCCCTCCCTGGGAGGCCCTGCCACCCCTGCCCAGTCCCCGGGGATGGTCCTGGGAGGAGCTGCCCACCTGCCCCAGGCAGTGTCTTGCCCCTTCTTTTCTATTTAAACCTGGGTTGTGCCTTTTGAACTAAAAAAGAAAACTCCCAGCGGTTGACATCTGTGTTCTCTGCCTTTCTGCCTAAAGCATTCCTGCTCCAGCCCAGAACAGTGGGGAAGGGCCCCACAGTCCTCGGAGCTTTCTCAGACACCCCGTCTCTCCAGGGCACCCCCAGAGCTGTTGGAGCAGCAGATAAAATCCCTGCTGCTCCCTGTACCCGTCCGACCTGGGCAGAGCCACCAGGAGCCCCTGGGCCTTCCGAGCTGTTCCCAGGGGCCAGGCCTCATCTCCTCCATGTGCTGGGGTGTGACATGGGTGGCAGTGGCAGCACAGAGCCTCAATGGCTCCACCACAGGGCAGAAGAGCCCCAGCAAAGGGCGAAGCTTGTCTTCCCAGAGTCTAGAGTTTCCCTCAGTGCCTGCCCCAGAGAGGCCGCCGTGGAGCACTGGCCCAGGGCCCCAGCTGTGGTGAGGTCCAAACCTGGCATACATCTGATGGTGCTGCAGGACCAGGACGTGTGCGTGGCCTTCCTCAGCGGGAACCTGTCCTATTGACGGTCCCACCCCTCCCCACCTTCTGGCCTGGGCGGCACTTTCCTCGCTGGCTTGGAAACAGCACACACAGCCAGCACCTGCTGGCGCCCCTTGCAGCTGGTGCACACAGGACTCTTGCTGCTTCTCTCTGTGCAGCTGTCCAGGCCCCAGCGGCCTGGGCTCTGCAGGCTTCTCTCTTGCAAAACTGCTGACGCCTCCACCCAAGCTCTGGTGCTTCGTCCCCGGTGTGCAGGTCCCGCACCCACTAGAGGGCGCCCTGGACACCTACACCCATTCATTTCTCCACAGCCCTGGGTGCTCCCCCCCACCCCCACCTTGGTCCACCAGGGATGGGTCGGTGCCCTCTAAGCATCTGGTAGACAGCGAGGATTTCCTTCCACTGTGCCCCAGGAAGGCTTCTGCAGTTTGAATGCAGGCCTCGAGGCTAGCAGGATGTGTGTGCAATGTTCAGATTAAAGCACAGAAGGAATGTAGAGACAAGCACAGTAATGTCCATCAGAAAGAAAGGGCCGCTTGGATTCCTGGGATATTCCAGGGACGGCATCCACACAGCTGCTAAAGCCGAAGGGAAGACCCCTCCAGCTGGATGCAGGAGAGGGAACATGGGTGTGGGTCGGTGGCCTCTCTCCCTACCTACATGGGCCGGGGTGTGGGGGGATCCAGTGTGTCTTGTGGCCAATTCCTCTGTCCCCAAACTGCTCGGGTGGTCAGGAGAGGTGTGTGCCTGCACAGACTTTGTTCACTAAGTGTGCAGCGTGTGTGTGATGAGAGAATCCCATGACGACACTGGGGGGCACTGGTAGGAGAAATCTAGGCATTGAGGAGGGACAGGAGTCAGATAGACGGGGTCAGGAGGGGACCAGGCTGTGCCTCCCGCAAGCCCTTACCAGGCGAGTGGAGCCCTGAACCTGCCTCCAGCTCGATGGCCTCGGGCACATGCTCTGACCTTTCTAAGGTTTGGTTTGTTCATCTGCCCAATGGGCTGAGGTGGCCTCTTGGCGCTGAGGGGGCTTAGGGAAAATGACACCAAGAAAGGGACTTGGTGTCAGCACAGCAGGGGCTGTGGGTGCCCCCCACCTCTCGGAGATATCTGCCCAGAGGAAGCCTGGGGTGGCCCTTGGCCAGTTCCCCATCCCTTCCTCCCAGCAGGTCTGAGAGCTGGTGGGCAGCTGGGAGCAGAAAGGAAGGAGGAAGGACATGTGAAAATACCGCTCTTTGTTCCACGTGTATCGTGTTGTTCATGACTGGCATCTAAAGTCAGAAACCGAGTTCAAGTCTACAAAAACTGCAGGTGCGAATCTGCAGAGAACGAGGCAGAAATGGACAGGGTGGGTGGGGCTGGAGTCGGGAGCTCGAGTCCTAGGTCTGCTCTGGCTCTGGCTGCCTGGCAGGGACCACTGAGGGGCCACAGCCCCAGAGAGCCACCGCTGGCTCTGCATATAAATACGGATCATGGCTCGGAACTCCTCTCTCCCCGAGGGGTCCCAGGGTGTGGGGCTCCATCTGGAGAGCAACCCACACAGCGCTATGAGACAGACAGCGCCTGCACATGAGTCAGATATGTTCCCACTCGCTCACTGAGTACAAAGTGACTTGCATTGATTTTTGCTGAGGAAGGGGTAACAGTTAGACAATCCCTCATCAGATAAAAGGAACAGCACCGCAGCTCCCTGCGATCAGCTGTCCACACAGTGTCTCCAGAGCACAAAATGACCAGAAAAGCAGGAAAGGCGGCTGCACATAGGGACCTGTCTGTCACACTGACCTCCACCCATTTCCGGCAGGGAGCACTGGGCCTATTTCATTAGAAATTTGGATGACAGAATATCTTTAGTCTTATTTTATTCTTACTTATTGAGACAGTCTTGCTATGTAGCTCAGGCTGGCCTTGAACTCACTTGTAGCCCAGGCTGGCTGAACTCATGTGATCCTCCTGCCTCAGCCTCCCGAGTGCTGGGGTTGCATGTGTGTGTCACCATGCCTGGCGGATGTTTTAGTCAGCTCCAGGAATTAACAATATTTATGATTAATATTTATGATTTATGATGTCCCACAGGTCACGGGACAGAAAAAGTTGCAAAGCACACAATTCAAACAGCTTACTGTAGTTCCTAAGATACTTTCAGAAAAACCGAACTGCATGACCCTTTGGATTAAGAGCATCCAGGCGTGTCCAGGAAGAAGAGGGGGTTCTCAATGTGTCCTGTGGTTTCCTGCACTTAGCCTTAGCACTTAGCACTTCGGCCTGGAGTGTGTCACCCACAGGAGAGGGGGCACGGAGGGGCCCCCAGAGAGAGGTGGCTAGGTGACGAGCCCAGAAATGGATGAGTGGGCAGGGCCCAGGCTCACACCCTCCAGAATGCAGAGGTCCCACATGGCACCTCTGGCAGCAGTGAGCAGGAAACAAATGTCATGCCCACTGTGGCCCTGGGGAAACCCACGGTGGTGAGGTATGGCTGGGGCCGTCACAGGGACCACCGGCCCACTCTTGGATGGAGCCACTTTAGTGAGAGCCCTGGGGGCCGCTGTAGGGATGTGTGGCTCTGTATCCACAGGTTTTCCTGAGATCTCAGGGCTGAGAGACAGCCCTGAGCCAGGGTCCCTGGTGAGATACCTCAACACCCTGCGCTGCACTAAAACGGACCTGAAAGGTGACCAGGAAGGGAAGCAGCCTGGATGAGCTCTGCCCAGAGCCTCGAGAGTCCCACCAGGCTGGGGACAGGCAGGGGCCCTTTAGTGCTGCCCAATCTGTCCCCAGCCAGGGACAAACAGCCCACACATGGACGCCGGTAACCCGTCTTTGCAGGAGACCCTGCTGGACACCAGGGTCAGCACCATCACACACGAGGGGGACCAAACGATGGTGACCACTGAAATGAAAGGGAACTTCTTAGAGTAAAAGACATACTGCCCAGGCAGAGACAAGCGTGGCCCAGGGGAGCAGGTGGCCTGAGTGTTTTGCAGGGCTTCATGCAATGGGTCTTGCTGTGATACATTTTTAAACAATGAACATTCAAAACACTTTGATCACCAGGCACTGGCATTTCTGTCAAATGAAAGCATAACGTCCTCTGACACCATGTCCTCCCCAACTTCAGTCACTGCATCAGGTGCTGTGTGACTTCTGGCTGCTCCCCAAAGTCACAATGACCATGAAGGGGACACAGTTTGGATCAGTTCAGGACACCGAAGCAGCCAGGACAGCACCACTGAAGACCCTGGGGAAAGAGAACTCTGGAGCTGCTACAGGACGCGGCCAGGATGGTGGGAGCCAAGGGGAGGATTCCGAGGGGGATTTGTGGCTTTTACTGTAACGAGATTTTTAAAACTGGAAGCATTCACCGTGTTGTTGATCACACCTTCTATCGGGGATGTGGCAGTGGGCAGCCTGGAGAGGATGGCCATGGAGGGAGAAGCCAGGCGCCCATGGGAGGAGCTCAAGTGTGACCCCTGGGTACCTCCCCCTCACGGGAAGGCTGTGGGGACCATGGCCATGCAGCCTCTATGCCCCTCTCTGTCCCAGGTTCAAGTCCCAGTGACTCTGGGCCACAGAGCTGGGGCTGAGAGCTGCATGTTTCAGGGACCAGCACTGGGACAGGGATGTCCCCTGCTGGAGCCCAGGGAAGAGAGTGGGTTCTGGAGGAGGGGCAGGGGGCCCCCCAGAGGCCCCCACACACAGCAGGTGGTGCAGGAACATAGGGAAAACTCATAGCCTCGAGACAGCTCACTGGAAAACTTGGGGGTCCTGGAGGGGTCAGGTGACTATGTCCAGCTGCATCAGAGCATGTCTCGTCAGGAAGGGTACCCCGAGACACCCTAAACACGTAGCAAAGCTCAGGCTGGTCCCCAAAGCACTAGACACCATGTGGAAGCAGAAAGTTTGATACAAAACGTTTTATTAGCAGTCTTCACTTCTGGAAAGTGTCTGAGCTTCTGTCCACACATCTTCCCTCTGGGCTTCACTCCGATTTCTGTCCTGTTCATCCAACAAGAGGCCCAGGGTTTCGCTCCCACTGGTACCGTCGGCACCATGGCATGAAAGGAGAGAAAGTTCTCTTTCCTTCTCCGAGGTCAGGGCGGCGACAGTGAGGGGCTGGCGCACCAGAGATGAAGGGGACCCTGCCGAGCAACACCTCAGAGCAGGCGTGCACACGTGCACACACATGTTCACACACATGTGCATACATGCAGACGCGCACAGCTGCTGGCCAGGTGCCGTGCTAACCAGTTGAGGCCAGCAGGGGCAAGAAGGGCCCCCTGCATGACAAGGGGCAAGCGCGGCCCCAGGCAACACCCTTCCCTGCACGTGGTGGGCACTGCTGATCACTCTCTTCTGGGCCACCTGCCTGGGGCCAGAACTGGGAGCCAGCCCATTGCCTCCACCCTCCCCGCTTCCCCTTCCCTGCCTCGGTGTCCCCGGCCTGGAGAGAGGAGGCAGAACCCCCGGGCAGGCAGCAGAGAAGGAAGCTCCTTTATAGGGGTGCCCATGCGCCCTCCCATCCCCTCCTCCAGTCTCCTTGAGGGGCACTCCCTGGGCTGCAGTCTCCTCTGGTACCAGCAGGGGGCGCAAAGAGCCCCCATGGCTTCACACTTCTCTTCAGATACAGGAGAAAGGAGCACCTGGGCGCTAACAGCGAGAGGAACCCCAAGGCGTCAGATCTGGGGGGTCGTTTCCACCCCAGCCCCAGCCTCAGCGGCAGGAACTGAGCTCAGGACCCCCTCTTCCCACGGTGATTTGGAAAACAGCGTGGGTGACTGTGTGGTCGCGGCCTTAGGTCCTAGGAAGAGGGAGCTGCAGAACCAGAAGAGAAGGCAAGGGGCCCCGGAAACACAGATCTGAGCACTGGAACCGGGTGGCAGAGGGGGAGGGGAGCACACCCGCACCCTAAGGTGGCAGCCAGGCTCTGTGGCAACAGCGCCAGCCTGAGGGGCCCCCTGCACGCTGTCACCTGCTCAAGTTGGGCCCCTAAAAACTGACCTGTATCACCCAGTCCAGGCCACTGGCTCTCCTGTCCCGTGATGGACCTTTTGGGGGACTCTGGCAGACCCTCATTTACACAGGGTGAGAATAACCCATGGAGTGTATAACCCACTTCCTAGGGAAAGGCTCCCTCCAGGGCTGCGGCGCTACGGAGCCTGGGTGTGCCACGTGCGGGTTCTGTGGACGCGGCGGGCAAAGGGAGGCTGTCTTCGGGATGGCAGTGTGGCTCCCCCGGCCACAGCCCACAGCCCCGTAACACTGCACCTCCCTGATGCAAGGCTTCCTCCAGGACGGGCCTCACCAGGGATGCCTGCCCTGCCCGCCTGCACGCTTCTCCAGGGACTGTGGAGCAGGCCTTCCTTCCCCGTGTGGGGCGGCTACACTTGAAGCTAAATCAAGATTTTATTTATAAAGGCTGGGTTGGACCCTGGTTAAAAACTGAATCTAAGGCAATCTTCTATTTGTATAAGCGGACTTAACAGTTTGTATTAATACAGCTTCCACTGCGTTTGCCAAAAAAAAGATCCAGAAGTAAAAATTAAATTAAATTAAATTAAAAAGAAACCTCGAGGCATTTTTAAAGCCAAATCCACACAGTCAGTCCACTTTGGACCCTTTCCATTCTGCTCGAGCAGGAACGCAGGCCTCGGGACCTCGGGGTTCCAGAGCTGCACACAACCTAAATGGGCTCCAGAGCCATGATTTACAGGGCAGGGGCTGTCTCTTAAGGGCCACTCTGACACCAGGGTCATCCCATCCCGGAGGACAAGGCAGCCCTTATCCTAGCAGTGACCCGATCAGCACCGCCTGTCCAATCCAGCTGGCCCAGGTCCCCCTCGTAGTGCTGGCTGGCCCAAGGCTCCAGGGCCTGCCCGAAATCCCCCAGCTCAGCTTCCCAGGGGCGATGGAGGTAGTTCATGTGATCGATGAGGAAGGAAAATATCCTTCAAAATCAGTTGGGCTGATCCGCACAATTTTGTGTTTTAGGCAAACGAAGGTGGTCAGAAATTTAGCAAGAAGCCATCTACTTCGCACAAAGTAAGAAGCAGGTAGAAAAAATAATGTGGCAGGGCTGGCTGCTTTCATCTGAGAGTTGTCTGTGCCACTCTCAAGGACTCCGCATCTCAGCGCGGGCAGTGTCGGTGCCACCACCCCGGGAGCCCATGTCCACTTTTCACAGCGTCTGCCCAGAATGAGACAGCGCTAACATTAGGTCTGCTTTCTTAGTCTCTGAACACAGTGAGTTATTTACCCTGAACAGCTCCACAAGTGCTAAAAAGATACACTTTCTTAAAATGAAAGAGAGTTACCAACTTTTGGTTCTGAAAGTGACTTGTCAGAAGAGAGACAGACTTCAGAAGGAAAGCCAGGAGAAAGAAGCCGTAGAACGGATCCCTCCCCGCTAGGCTTTCTGCCCCGCTCCGTGGCAGGGACTCCCCATGTGACCCACAGAGGAGTGGTCCTGGCTCCCCGTCCAGGACTAATGTCACCTCCACAGCAGGAGCAGATTTACCGAGGAGGCCTCTTGTCACCAGCTGTGTTGCAGTTTTAAATCCTGCCCCGTCTGTGGGGCTTTAAATTCTGCATGTAAAAACAAAGCAAACCTTTCTACATCTCCCTAGGTAAAGCTAGAAAAGGTAGTAAGAGACGTCCCACCCAGGTGAGCGGCGAAGCTGATCGCTGGCTCCCACCGACCGGCAGGTGAGGCTGCCAGGTGGGGTCAGAGGAGTCTCCGTGTCACCGGACACAGGCACGCGGCCGCCACTCGGCAGTGCCCTCGGCCACCATGTCTAATGTTCCTCCTTGCTGGCATGGGCCGCTTTACCTCTCTGCCCGGATTTTGTACCGCAGGACAAGGTAGGCGATGAGGCGCAGGGAGACGAAGAAGACCCCCAGCACGATGAAGTCCAGGTAGAGCTTGGCATTCTCCACGTCCAGCTCCCGCAGGATGGCCTCCGACTTTTGAAAGTGGCAGGTCTCATCAATGTCACAGTGCAGGTCTTCTCGGTCCAGGCCGTAGATGGACAGGATGACGCCCTCAAAGCCATACCTGGGGAGGAGGGCAGTGCTGGGCATGAGAGGGCCCTGTGCGGAAGGCCAGGCTGCAGCCTCCTCCTGCCTGCCCAGGTTTATCCTCCAAAGCCCCCTGAATGCATTTGAGGGGTGTTGGGGAGGTGACTGGAATATGAGGGTCACAACTGATGTGCTCTTAGGAGGTGGGAGGGGTGGCCACTGGAGGTGTGGCCTGAAGGCTCACATCCCCCTTCCTCTGCTTCCTGTCCTCCACGCAGCATCGCAGCATCGAGCGGCTCTCCTCCGACAGGGCCCTCTGCTGGGCTGCCCTCTCCTGGAGCCAGCCAACCACAGGTGAAATGTTGGAAACCACAGGCCAAACTAAACCTCTCATTTAGGCTGTGGGTGTCAGTATTGCGTATGGCCCCAGAACAAGGGAGGCACTAAGGGACAAAGAGCTTTCATTCCTGGATACTCCCTTGACTCCTGAAACCTTCCTAAGACAGTGGTGTGGAGCCTATGGCAGGCGTGGCTCAGCAGGCACTCAGAGCCCTTGCCGTCATCCCAGCAGCCAAGCAGCTGATAGCAGTAGCCTTTCCCGGACCAACCCCTCAGGACTCAGGTTCAGCTGCAGTTTGTAATAAATAAGTGGGTTTGGGGCTGTAGTCTGGGTGCTGGGTCTCTACCCTAAGATGAGCACACACAATGCTCCACTCCGTGGCTGCACCCAGTCTTGTTTCTTCCAGACCCCCAGCAAAACCTGACGCGGAACCAACATCAGAGGTGAGGTGAATCAAAGCACACTCGGATTCCCTCCCTGGTTGCGTCTTCTCTAACAGATGCATGTGACGGTGGGTGGGCGTCCCGGCTGGCACATGGGAGTATCTGAATACCCACGCGTGCACCCTCTGCCCTTCTGTCCCAGAGTCGTCTCTGCGGAGCCCAAACACAGAATTCCAGAAGGAAGTCTGGGTCCCTAGAGTCCTGGTGCTGGCCAGCACACAGACTAGTGTGGCTGGGACCCAGGTTCTGTGTAGCCCCCATTTCCCTGCACGATCCACACAGGTCTCAAGGACACTGCAGAGGGGCAGCCCTGTCTCCAGCTTGTGAGGAGCAGCGCAGAGAGATGAAGGCTGGCTTGCTCCCACAGGACTTCTCATTCAGGTGTCTCAGAGAATCCAGCTCTTGTGACAGCATATTTCACACGAGATAGGGAAACAGTGCTGTGTAGGGCAGGCCTGGGACAGCCCTTTGGAGGACAGTGGGGTGCACAAAAAAAAGGCATCGAGCCCTCCAGCTGCGTCCCGCCCGGCTGAGGCCCGGCAGCGCACCCAGTCTACCCGCACCCCCGACCCGACTACCTGACGTAGGAGATGTACGACATCCACTGCAGGTATGTGGGGATGGTGTCGAAGCTGACAAAGAACCCCGAGAACAGGAGCACAGGGATGGCTGTCACGGGACCCACAAATGTCGCCACCTGGGGTGGGGCAGGGACACAAGCAGACCTTGCTGGAGGAGTGGGTGAGTCCCAATCCACTATCAGTTTGGGTGGCCCTGGGCGTGGTCACTGTCTGCTGGGAGACACAGTCCTGGGCAGGGCAGGCAGGGGCCCAGGAGCAGGTGCCATCTGATACTCCTGGTGACGCGGCTCCTTCCCATAGGCCCCCATCTCGGAAGTCCAGACCTCGGGCAGGAGGACAGTGCTGGGGTCTTGGGGAACAGCCAGGGCCCCATCAGGCTGCGGGGACCACAGACACCCCGAGGGCACCACACACCTGCAGGGACGTGGAGGCGGCACCGATCAGCAGGCCTAGGGACTGCGCCACGAGCGAGGTCATGGTGCCCAGCGCGGCAAAGAGCACGAAGCGCACAGCGTCAGACGGCTGGGACGTCATCCAGTACACGATGCTGCAGTAGGCCACCGGGAACAGGATCTGGGGACGCACGGCTGTCAGCCAGGGCACGGTCCAGGGCCCCCTTCCAAAACCCCTGACCTCCCTCTCTGAGCACTCAGCCCGCTCACCTGGAAGGGGACGTCGGCCATGGTCTTGGCTAGGTAGTAGGCCTTCAGGCTGTACCAGTAGTTCAGGTGCTCTCGCAGGAAGACGCTCATCTCCAGGGGGACTAGAGTGGAGGGAGAGCGGTCTGTGTATCCTGCTGGCCAGTGGCACAGGTCCTCTCTTTGCTATAGGACAGGTCCTGGGCAGGGCAGCTGTGGGCCCTGGGTCCCCTCCCCAGCACAGTGAGAGATGGTGCCTGGCCCTGCTCCGGCCTGCACCGCAGCAGGGGTCTCAGGATGACCTGGCTGAACAGAAAGGCCCGCAGTTCCTCTTCTGAGGAGAATCCAGGAGCTGAGCCTGGTGGGGCTTGGCTGTCATCCCAGCAGTCTGGGAGGCTGAGGCAGGAGAATTACGTTCAAGCCCAGCCTGGGCACTTAGTGACTTAGTGGGACTGTCTCGGGATTTGAAAAAAATAAAGAACTGTCAATGGAGATCATGGTTCAATTCCCAGCACTGAAAAACTGAAATCAAACAAAAACAAAGGCCCCTCCCCCCAAAAAAAACACAAAAAAGCATGACTACAGACAGGCTGCTAGGCGGTGGGAGGCTGGGGCTCCTGAGTTCCCCAGGCTGGCTACAGAACCGGGGGCTGCCGTGTCAGAAGCCCTTAGAAACCGCCCTCCATCTGCCCCCACTAGGCTGTGCGGTCTTCCCCAGATGTACGCATTGTATATGCTCATCTAACCCTAACCAGTGAAGCCTGCCGAGGCCACACGCAGGAGGGAACTGGAAAATGCAGGGCACCGCGCCCAGCCCACTCTGCACGGTCACTCACAGGTCAGCACGGTGGGCATGAGGGCGGCGAACATGAGGAACAGCATGGAGAAAAAGAGGAAGCCGGAGTTGCTCAGGACCTTCTTGGCCTCGTTGCCGATGCCCAGGTAGAGCAGGCCGATGAGGAGGCCAATGCCGATGTGTGAGGTGATGCGCAGGTGTGTGAGGACCTGGGGCAGACACGGCTCTTACCTCGGTGCCTGTGTGCATGCGCAGGGGCCGCCCGGGGCCCAGGAGCCCCGGCCTCCACTCCTGTCCCTGTGGATCTCAGCTCTGCCCACCTATGTATGCGTTTATACAACTGTGCATCACGGACAGGTGAGGATGGACTCATGCACACACATGTACGTGTGCATAGCACGCTCTGGGTGCTGTTAAAACCAAAGCCACCGCTGTCACTAAACTGTCTTCAAAATTGGTGGACGAGGACAGTGTCCCTGAAGACAGGGGGCAGCCAGGTTGGCCGCGGTGGGCACGAGCCCTCCTATGAGCCCGTACCTTTCAGCCGTGGTCTCAGAGGTCACACTGGACCTGGCTCTCACAGGCCAGCGGTTGGGCTGTCCCATGAAGGGCGGCACTGTTGGGGGACCCTGGCATCTCTCCCTACAGCCCCGGCAGGAGCTGTTCCTCCATCCCATTGGGCTGCTGCCCACAGAGAGCCAAGGAGGACAGGGGGCCCGGCGGATGGCTCACCGAGTCCCGCATGATGCTGAGGAAGGTCCTTTTGAAGAGAATGCAGAACTGCGTGAGACAGCTGGCGGAGAAGCTGTGGCAGCCTTCCACGGAGGCCGAGTCCTGGGCACGGAGAGGGTCAGTCAGGCCCCGCCCGGCGTCATCCCGCACAGACAGCGCCGTGCGTGGGCCAAGGCTGGCGGGTAGCCATCCCGGGCCGGGGTCTGCATTACCTTTCTGAGCCCCTTTAATGGTTTTGGCTGCTTTACCTCTTCGGAGGGCCGGTGCCAAAGGAAGGGGTTCACCTCGGCTTCGCCCGCGAGGTCCCTCTTGTAGGCCGCGTCGCACATGCCCTCCCGCACGGCTCTCACCAGGCGGCCGTTCTGGTCACCGTACTCGCCGGAGGCCACCTCCATGACTGCGGGGGCAGAGGGCGGTGTCAGGCAGCCTCCACGGGAGACGGTGACAGATGGCTGCTTTCCTCGTGGGGCCCTGGCCTGCGCCCCACTCTGCCCTGGGGTCCACAGACCCTGCCGGCCCCTGGCATCTCCCCACTCCCTGGCCCGTCCTCCGTCCTTCCCTGCTCGGTGGCACCTGGGGCACCGTTCCTTTCCTCTCAGGAACAAACACGCAGCAGCTGCCAGCTGCCGGCCCCCTGGCTCTTAAATGTGCCCGGGTCTCGCCCCCAAGGCAGAGCCCCTCTCAGTCTCCCTCCCTATCGTGGCCTCTGGGTGACTGACAAGCAGTCCTATCCAGTGTGGCGGTGCACACTAGTCATCCCAGCACTCTGGAAGGCTGAGGCAGGAGGATACCAAGTTCTAGCCCAGCCTGGGCAGCCGCATGAGTACAATTCAGGAAATGACAGAGTAGAAAATATGAAATTTTGGGCACGTGTGCCCCGAGGATTTACAGAAAGAATCGCTATGGTATGAGGAGGGCTGGGGGCAGGGAGGCCAGCAGGGGACACTGACGTGAGTCTGAGTGGCCAGGGCCCTGGGGCAGGGTCTTTGTGGGGCCCCGGGATCCTTAGTCCTGGCACCTGAGATGAGCTTTCCCTGGCTGCACCTGAACCGGCGACCGCCATCCCTACCAGGAGTGAGGACTCAGGGCAGGGGCCAGAGCCACCGAAGGAAAAGCCCTGCCTCGATTCCTCATGCTGTCAGCGGGGCACTCAGCAAACCCAGCAGTGCCACCCGGAGGTGGGAAAGGCTCTCCCTGGCTCTTACCGAAGTCCGCGGGGTTGTGGTAGGTGGGACAGTTCAGACCCAGGTCCCGCAGGTAGGGCACGAGGTTGGAGACTTTCCCCCGGTACACGCACTGCCCCTGACTCAGCACATACAGCTGCGGGGAGGAGGGAAAGAAGGGCATTCCATTCAGTCAGTGAGGCAGTCAACTGGCCAGTTATTCAGGCCATTGGCCAGGCAGAGGCCTGGGGACTCCCGGTGGCCTCTGGGGTTCCCAGGCCAGCCTCAGCCCAGAGGGTCTCTGAGGCAGGATTGGGTGGAAGTCGGGGAGTCTGCAGGGGACCCCGGCCACACACCTGGTCAAAGAGCTCAAAGAGCTTGGCGCTGGGCTGGTGGATGGTGCAGACAATGGAGCGGCCGCCCTGGGCCAGGCCCTTCATCAGAGACACCACCTGGAAGCAGGACGCACTGTCCAGGCCGCTGCAAGTCAAGGGCACTGTGAGAAGGGACGTGGCCCGGGGAGGAGGGTCCCCGCTGCCATTCCAGCCCACTGCACCATGGGGACAGAGGACGCCTGGAGCACAGGACCCTAGCACAGCCTGGGCAGGGACCCGGGGATGGGGTGCAGGTCTCAGCCCCCTTGGCCACCTAGATGAACTGGAAGTGGACAGGGATCTTCCCATGGTCCCCGTTTACCTGGTGGGTTCATCGAAGAACATGACTGGGGGGTTGTTGACCAGCTCCAGTGCGATGGCCAGGCGCTTCCGCTGGCCGCCCGACAGGCTGCCAGTCCGCGTGTTGGCACAGGACAGCAGGCCCAGTGCCGTCAGGATCTCCTTTACCTGGGGACAGGGGACAGGGTTCCTGTGAAGGACCGTCCTCTGGACCTTGATGCAACCAGAGCTCCCACCTTGCCGGTCACTCCTCCTGGGGCCAGCGCACACCCCATGAGCCCCTAAGCCCCCAGTCCTGACTTCCAAGCTCAGAGGCCGAGACGCAGTGGAGGAGTTGGACTTGTCCCTGGCTGGTGACCTGGCACTGGGCATGGACCACACTTCTGAGCCTGGCCCAGCGTTCCACATGGAGGAGGCATCCAGTTAGCACTGACCAAGGGATGGACCAAAAGACAATCGTTCTTTTTCCTCTCTTCTCTTCTCCTCCTCTCCCCTCTCCTCTCTTCCTCTCCTCCTCTCCTTTCCTTTCTTCCATTCATCTTCCTTTGCAATACTGGAGACTGAACCCAGGGTCTTCACATTGAGCCAAAACCCAGGCTCTTTTTATTTTAACACGGGGTCTTGCTAAATTGTCCAGACTGGCCTTGAACTTGCAATCCTCCTGCCTCAGCCTCCCAGAGTGCTAAGATTACAGGCGTGCACTGCCACACTGGGCTCCCATCGGGATCCTGACCAGTACAGGGGACCTCCGTGAGTCCCCAATGAAATAATGTAGACAAACTTGCCACAGCAAGCATGCTCTCGGGGTGTGTATTTCTGAGGCTGTCATCACTGATGGGACACATGGGGACACAGTTCCTGCAGGCTCACCAAATGAGCCAGGCCTCTTGGAAGGCCCCTTTGGTGTGAGGATGGAGGAAAAGGGCCTTGGAGACGGTGTTGGTGATGAAGAGACCTCGGCAGGAGGGCCACCCAGCCCTGACCTGGATGGTGGGAACAGCAGGTCCCTTGCACTTCTCCAGAGCAGCCTGAGGGAGGTGGAGGTTGGGCCACCCGTCGTCACCCTACCAGGCCCTCCATGGGGACACAGGCTCAAAGCTCCCTGCAGAATCTACCGGCCTTGTCACCACCCCTGGCAGCTGACGCAGATCCCTGGGGGCCATGGCCAGTGGACCCCAGGCCAGCAGCCTCTCCAGGAAGATGAGGTCATTGGGCGGAGGAGGGAATCAGAGAGTGGAAATTTCCATTCTGAACTTGTGCACGGGCAGTAGGAAAGGCAGCTGAAGGGACAGAAGAAACCAGTGCACTGGAGCCGGACAGCCAGAAGTGGTGTAGTGTTCGGTCAGAGATCTGGGTTCAAATCCTGCTGTGGCCTTAATCTAGGACCACCTCAGGTTCCAACATTGCTCCTCTGGGGGCCGCTACTCCAGAGGACACTGCAGGGAGGCTCCCAGAAAGGCCAGCAGGGGGCGCTGGTGGGCAGGACTCGTTCAGTGGCTCTCTGCCTGGTTTCCCAGCAGGAGGCTCCCAGCTCTCCTCTGACTGCTGGCTGAGGCTGCAGGATGACCCCGCTGTCCCAGCTCACATTCAGTGCAGTCCACGGGCACAGGTGTCTTTGACCTCCCCGCTCCCTGGAGCAGGAGAAGAGGCTACTGTGGGTCTCTGCATTGCAGGGGTCTGTCCTTCTCCACCTCTCCAAGGCCCAGCCTACGTGCTCCAGCACTGTCACAGAGGTGACACCTTCCAGGTTGGTTTTAAGTGACCCAGAGAAGACAAACAAGTAGCTTGTCTGCTTGTATCCATCTCACCAGACAAACCACTCCGGGGCCACCTGACTAGAGCCATCCTGGGGCCTTGCTGTCCGGGGACGAGTGATGCAGCCCCAGTCCAGTGCGCAGGGACCGGGACGGGGCCTTACTGCTGAGGGCTCCTTGGGGCTCCGCACCTTTTCCAGGGACAACAGCGCATCCTGCCACCTGTGGCGCACACCCCGGCTCATGCTTCCAGGAGGAATAAACACCTTCCCTGTCACTGTTACTCACAGGGGCCCAGATGCTGCTGCACCCCAAAGATGCCCTGCAAGGAGCAGGTCCTGTGGACGGCGGGGCTGGGTGCCACACTCACCATGGCTGTGTGCTGGGCGGTGCACACCTGTCCCCACAGAAGGCACCTGGGAAGAGGCTTCCTGGCTCTGTGACCCCTTCATGTGGGGCTCAGACTAACAGGTGCCATGCAGCCTGCTGCCCTGTCACATGTCAGGCCTTGAGTCTTGAGTGACAGATGGTGGCTCAGGTACAGCGGTGTCCATGGGTCCTTGGCTAGGGTGGGTGGGGCTCAGCTCTGCATTCCTGTGACTCCCTCCACGTGGCTCTGCTCTGCCCTGTCACTCATGCTGTGTGAGGCCTCCCCACCTGAAGTCAGTGGCCTTTTCCACGGCCTCCACAGCGTCTGCACTGGGCGCTTCGCTCCAAGACAGCCATGGGAAGGGCTATGGGGTGGACAGTTGTGATGGGCAGCCGAGCATGAGAGGGGACCCTGGGCCCCCCAATCCACTGGCCACTGGGTGGCAGCCCTTTCTGGCTCTCCAAAAGGAAAGCACTTTGCTGAGGGCCCTGTCCTGATGGCCAGGTCACTGCAGTCCCCCAGCAGACTGTGCTCTGACATCTGCTTTCTCCATATTCACCCTCATGCCCAGTGCCAAGTCCTTCATTTCACGTCCATGGTGTGCATCAGCACAGGCTGCTTCGACAGAGCCCTGCCCGCCCGGCAGACACCGTGGAGAGGCCCGGCTCCCGTTCTGGAGGCAGAGGCTGGGTCTCCTGCGGGTTAAGCCCCTCCTACTGCCTCTCTCCAAGCTCATGAAGGGCATCTTCGCCTTGCACCCTCGAAAGGTCAGCCCGGTGTGCGCGTCCTGACCTTTTCTCATGGTGACACTGCTGCCGCAAGGCACCCCTGAAGGACCCCATCTCCACAGAAGGGCGATGCCCAATCAGGTGCCAGCCCAGTCCCTCTGCCCTGGGAAAGGGCCAGGCCTATTCTCGATGCCACGCTTTCCATGCCTCTCCTGGGTTCTACCCTGTTCAGATAACCCACTTTTTGCCTTCAATCTCAGAATGACGGAGCTCCATATGAAATGTCTTCTGAAGCACCCCCCGGGAGTGTGTGTCCGGCACCTGCACTGGAGGGCGGAGGAGGGAGCCCTACAACTGCCCGGTGTTTTCTCCATATAAACAGGGTTTACATTTGCTTACTGTTAACTATTCTCTGCAATAGGGAAGGAGAAAACGGCATGAACAGCAGAGTGTCGAATGCATCCTCCAATGTACGACTGCACCCTGCTGACCATGGCTCTGCTGAGCAAGGGAAGGACCTGCCCCTGCCCTGAGAGGGTGTCCACAGGCATAGCTGTTATGTAAGTGGGATTTCATCAGATTCGTCTCACACTGAAAACCCCAGCAGTGCTGGCAGGAAGTGAAGAGGATGCCAGTTGGGCTTCCCTAGGACCAGGTGTCCACCCACTGGTCACCCTGATCATGCTTTCTGGGGCTCCCACTGAGGCCACTGACTGCACCCTTCCTGCTCCCTGGGAGTTTAAGGAGCCAGAAAAAGTGAAAATGGAATGAGGACATCTCAGTCACGCTGGAAACCTGTTTATTTTCTTTTTTAAAGGCTGGTTAATAACATGCAAGAGCCAAATTTTTTTCTTGCCAGTGTGTGGGCAGAGGGGGGTTATTTTTAAACCAATGACTAAATCATCTGTGTCTTCAGCACGCATAAAACATAGCTTAATCTCAAGTGTGTGTGCTGCAATCTAAAAGTGTCACAAAGGTTTACATTTTTAAAACTCTCTTACAGTAAAAGACTCACTGCTGCTAATCTCCCTCCCTCCAAGCACACCCGTCCCATCATCCTGGCCTCTTCCTGCAGCGGCTCTGCAGTCCTGTCTCCTGAGGGTCTTCAGCTGTGCTGTCCTGGCTGCCTCAGTGTCCTGAATGGATTAAAAATGTGTTCCTTTTATGGTCACTTTGACTTTGGGAGGAGCAGGAAGCCACATGGTATTAGCGCCGGTGAATCAGGCAGACAAGGACACAGCGTCCTGTTTTTACGAGCTGCCTTTCTGTTGGATGGCACTCGGCACAGCATTCACTGTGTTCTTTTCTTTTCTTTTTTTTTTTTTCTTCTTTTTCATTTTTATCGGTACCGGGGATCGAACTCATGACCGCCTGCTTGCAAGGCAGGTGCTTATGCCACTGAGCTAAATCCCCAGCCCATTCACTGTGTTTTTGATCACCTTCATAAACACACTCCAGGAAGAGGACTCCAGAGCTGCCGCAGGAAGGGACGGGGATGAGGGGATGCTGGGAATGTCCTGGAAGTGTGGGGGTTTGGGATGGATTCATAGCAATGTGTCTTTCTTCTTTTCGGTAGTGGGGATCAAATTTGTGCCTTTGTGCCCATCAGGCAGTCGCTGAGCCACTGAGCTACATCTCCGGCCAGCACTGTGGCTTTCACTAGAGTAATTTGTTAATTTGAACGTCCACTGTGTATTCCGATCAGACCCCGTGCTAACCACTGAAGGGGCAGTGCACAGGTCTCCACCCTGAGGTGGCATCTGCAAGGCCACCTGACCCTGGGGTGCAGCCCGAGTCAGAGCTGTGTCCCTGGACTCTGTGACCCATGGCCCCCCCCAAAGTGACCCTGACCTGTATTTGAAAGGAGAGGCGAGAACAAACCAGCAAGCAAAAGCAGATCTGAACCCCTGTGGGTCCTTCCCAATCAGAGGTCACCGCCTCTGGACACACTTACCATCTCCTTTCTGCCCTCATCCTTCTCCTGCAGCTTCAGGTGCGCGGACACCTGCAGGGATAGGGACAGAGGTGCACAGCTGTCAGGGCACAAGCCTCAAAAGCCACAGCGACCCGACAGCTCCTGGAAACACAGGAGGCTCCTCGAAGGTGGGGCTGGTCATGGAGAGGTGGTGGCACCAACCCTGCTTGCACGTCTCAGGCGATGTGGGGCACAGGGGGTCGGGGGCTCAGGCACCCTGCCCTCGAACGTGTGCCTGACTGGGAGTGCAGAGCATGTTTAGGAACCGCACCCACCACTGGGAGCTGGCAGCTGTACACAGTGGGAGCAGGGAGGTGCAGTCCCCAGGAAGGTCCTCATCCTGCCTCATCTGCTGAGGTGTTCTTCACTGGGAAAACTCTGGCAGAATCCGAGCAGAGGTCTGTGCACCCAGCACACATCTGGGTCCTGCTCTCGCAGGACCTGTGCTCTGGGGCCCCTGGGTGCCTCAGTTTCTTTCTCACTGCCTCACAAAGGAGGGACGCTGCTGAGAGGCCAGTGAGAGAGAGAGAGAGGCAGGCAGGCAGGCGTGAAGAGGCCCCAGGCCCCAGAGTGGTGCGGGGCAAGGCCTGACTCCTCTGGAGGACAGCTCTCTGTCACATGACACCGAATGTCATTTTGGTCTGCCTGGCTGCTGTGAAGGCAGAAGCAGCACACAGAAAGGAACAGCTGTGTCTGGTGTGTGGTCAGCATGGGTGGTCAGTGTCATAGCTACCCAGGAGGTGGGACCTTGCTTGGGAAAAGGTGCAACAGGCTCAGGTTAGAAGCAATTCTCAAGGGCATTGTGGAATTCCCCAAATCAGAATCTAGCTGAGTTTGATTCTGGAAATGGACATTTTTCACAGTACCATCTGGGGACAACATTGGGGCGGGACAGAGCGTCACCACCTGTGCCTGTGAAGCAGTGCAGTGACTGAGCTGGAAAGTCAAAGCAATGGCTCCGTCCATCACAGCCACACTGAGGGTGAACTTGGGTCACCAGGATGCAGATGTGAGGCGGGGACCAACAGGTGATGTGTGAAGACAGTGTCCACCGAACACACAGAGCAGCAAGCGTGGGGCAGGAGGAAATCCCACGGCAGGCTGCTTGTCCTGCTCCATCTGAAAATACTCCTAGTTCCCTGTGGCCATCAGAATGCCCACGCAGGGCTTCACTCTACCCTGTTTATGTAGAGAAGTATGCTCCGACCTACAGAACACTCAGTACTGGGGTGATGAATGGGAACAGCCCTGCTGAGCCCTCTCTTTCTGTTCCCTGCAGAACGGGTGAGAAAGAAGACTACGTTGTTTGAAATCACAGCCCGCTTCTCTCTTCTTCTCTGAGCCAGGAACCCCTGGGAATCACGGGAAACGCTCGTGGCTGCTGCTCTCTGACATCTCAGGGAACAGGCTGCACCCCGCCCAACTCAGGAACACAGACAATCCCTCCCTGGGTAGGGACACCACTGCACACGCCCATCTGCTAATCCAACAGCAGCCCAGGCGCCACAACCCTGGTGCTGCCTGGAGAGGCGCCAGCTTACAGGGGGCTTCATGTGACAGGCAGGGAGAAAGCCGAAGAGCAGAGAGCCACATGCTATGAGCCTGGCCAAGCAGCTGGAGCGAGAGGCTGATTGGACTGGTGGCTTCCACCACTTGCATCAGTGAGGCATCAGTGTGGACTCAGCTGCCATGGGCTGGTCCCACCCAGCAGGGTCATAGTCTGCTCAGAGTGTAACCAGTCACTCTGGAAATGTGCTGGCAGCTGCTGCCTGGACACTTCTGTGCCCCAAAGGTATGGATGTTTGTGACCTCCCTCAACACTGTTTCCCCATGGAGGACCCAAGTGAAGACTATGGGAATGGAGAGGTGTGGAGAGAAACAGGGGCGAAGTTGTCACAAGGACATGTGTTGCTAGCCATGGAGCGCCTATGGGCTTCCACCCCACCTCCTGCACCACCCTGTGCCCCACTCCAACCCTGTACCACCAGGCTCCGAGTCAGCCTGGGACCCTGGGCTCCATCTCACACCTGCTTTCCTGAGCTCACACAGCTGATGCATGTGTGCAGGGACGCAGCAGGGGCTCAGCCATCATGGGCTGCCTGCCTGCATCTGGTGGACAGGTGAGCGGGGGGGTGAGCCTCTCAGGGCCTTCACCGGGGCAGCCAGAAAGTCCCTCCACGGCAGGGAGTATCGCCCAGGTCAGAGAGCAGTGATCTCAGAGGCCAGACTGTGCCTGATGAGAAAGGTGTGCTGCACTTGTGGCCTGGGGTTATTTTTTGTGTGGCTCAGCACATAGTGGGCCAAGGCAGGCAGGGTGCTACTGGGAGGGAGTCCAGAGAGGGTGCCCAGGGCAGAGGCACTGGTGGGGTAGGACTCACCATCATGGCCTCCTGCACGGTGAGGTGGGGCAGCAGCATGTCATCCTGCATGATGTAGCAGGACACCTTCCGGAAGCAGCGCAGGTCCCGGGGCAGCCCGTTGATGAGGACCGAACCCTTCATGCCGCTCTCCCTGCGGGCCGAGGACAGGGCAGGCCGTCAGTGCTGCCCCTCCTGCCCTTGCTGCCCAGCTGGGACAGCGCTGACTGAAAGGGGCCCTCCCAGCCTCCTGCAGGGGGACTGTGGGCACTAGGGGATGCAGAGCCAGGAGGGTTCCTGTCCTCTGCAGGGAGATGGCAAGGAAGCGACCACCACACACGCCAGCTCGCTGGGCCAGCATTGCTTCGACAAGGGGAAGCGGTGGCACTTTCTTTGCCCACTGGAAACAGGGATGCAATTAAATTCTTCCTTGGCCTGGTGGGGCTGGAAGATCTACAGCTGCTTCCTCTTCCTCCTCCTCATGAGCGTGTTTGTGCACGTGTCTGTGTTACTTGGGACTGAACTCCAGCCCTTTCTATTCTATATTTGAGACAAGGTCTCTCTAAGTTGCTAAGTGGCCCAAGCTGCGCTCAAACTTTTGATCCTCCAGCCTCAGCCTTCCAGAGTGCTGGGTGTTGTACTAAGATGCTGAAAAATTAAAATAATTGATTAAAAGATAATTAGCAAAAATAGTTAAAAAGATAGTTATTAGCAGTATTGTCATTCTGTACTGAGCTCGTTACCTTAGTAACCAAGCACCAACCACATAGTTATAGATTAACTGACCACTTCGTTATGCTGTTCTGTACGCATCGCCCCCCCCCAAGTAACCTGTGTGCTATGTCAACCTTTGTTTTCCCTTGTAAGAGACAAATGATGCTGTGTCAATCATTGTTCCCTTTATGAGAGACAAATGTTCCCGGAATTGGCAGGCTGAGGGCTATGAATTGGCTAACCACCCACTGTGAAACGCCTCTGACCTCAAGCAAAGGGGAACAAAGGCCCACCTTGTTTCTGTTTCTCATCACTATGTACTTAATGATCAATGAGCTAATCATAAATGAACTATAAAAACCAGTCAAAATTCTAACTTAGTTGCACAGCTTTGCAAATTTCATCTGCACTGTGTTGCTGGGCCAGCTAAAATAAAAACACTTCTTTTAAAAAAGATGTCTTGCCCCGTTTTTCATCATGGGGCCTTCTTTTTGGGTGGGTTACAACATTGGGATCACAGGTGTGCATGTCACGCCCAGCTAACAGACACTCAAGATAAAGTTTCATGTACAGACTGAGCAGGGAAAGATATTAGTAACTGCAAGCAATAATAAAACAGACTAGCAACAATGCACCATGCTGTTCTAAAGTCGCTTGTGTCTGCAGTCTCACAGTTCGGGGCCATTATTTAAGTAAAACAGGAGTCACTGGAAGTCACATGGGGACTGAGAACCAGGGGGCTCCCAGGGATGCAGTGTGGTCAGGCTGCAGAGTGTGGGCTGGGGCAACTTGGAGCTCTTCACAATTCTCAGAAACACTAAGAGTTACACATTTCTAGAATTTTCCACTTAATATTTTTGGGCTGCAGTTGACTGTGGTTACCTGAAACTGCAGGAAGCAACACTGTGGGTTAAGAGGCATTCTCCTGCCGGAGAACTGCAGAGGCCTGAGGCTGGCCTTAGCCTGGCGTGGTGTATACACCTCTAATCCTAGCACTCTGGGAAGCTGAGGTAGGAGAATCTAAGATCGAGCCCCGCCTGATCAACTGAGCAAGACCTGTCTTGGAAAATTTTAAAAACGGCTGAGAATAAAGCTCCGTGTGAAGCCCTTCTGTTCACTGAGGTCTACAGTCACTAAAGTTCCATTTGTTTGTTTTTTGTTTGTTTTTGAGGCGTGGTCTTGCTATGTAATCCAGGCTGGCCTTGAACTCACTCTGCAGCCCAGTGATCTTCCTGCCTCAGCCTCCCAAGTGCTGCAGGCACGCACCCTTATGCCTACCACAAAGTTTTGTACAACTAAGGAAACCTCGACCCAGCCTGGCCGAGTGCTTCCCACTGTCCCTTCTGAAAATGCCTCATCTTATTTCCCAGCACTTCCTGCTTGTTCTCCCAGCTCTTCCTGCCTTCCCTTTCCCTGACCTTGATGATGACTTTGAGCTTCCTACTTCCTGCACCAGCAGGGCCAGCCCAAGGCTGAGCTCACAGGGACACCGCCTGTCTGTCTCACAGCGGGATGCCCTGTGAGCAGCTCGGCACAGCCCCTCCACCCCACACCCCTGCTCACCTGTATCCGGCCAGGATGTTCATGAGCGTGGACTTCCCGGCCCCCGAGGGGCCCATGATGGCCACCAGCTCCCCGCTGCTGAACTTCCCCGAGATCCCTTTCAGTAGGGTCTTGTATCCTGCAAAGGCAGACCACAGTCTACTGGGGACTGTGGCAAGCTTGTCCTCCTGATGCCATTGGACAGCATGCTGGACCCAGGGTCCCCATCTGCCTCCCCAACATGGGTGACTGCCTGATCAGCAGCAGCACCACCTGTGTGTTGCTGGGCTGGCCACCAATCCCTTCCCACACAGGGTTGAGGTCCCACTGCAGGGCTGGCTGTCCCCCACGATCGCATTCACTTGCCTGCCACCCCCGACACTGGGCTCCCTGTATCTTAATTAAACCACCCCGACACTTAACTGACCAATTACTTACTTATACCTCATACATTCACATATACTATTTAGACACAATGCTAAATAACTGCTTTATAGTTAAATAATCAATACATTATTAATTTCTTCATTAATAATGAAAAGTGTTATAATCACATCAGATGGCTTTGGAATTTCTGCCAAGCCTCTCAGATGCCAAGCCTCTCCGTGACTTCCGGAGCAAAGTCACAGTAATTTATGTTCCACGCAGACTGCAGAGATGGTCAAATGGGAGGGACCAGGTGCATAAACTCTGAGCCAGCAAGTCGATGGGGGCAGGCCACCGAAATGCATCATAGGAATGCATCCCCTTTCCAGGGACCTCATGAGACAAGGGATACATGGGATCCTTGCCTGTCGCCAGCTGCCGACCCCGTCCTGGGCTCCATGGGCCGCCAGGCAGGCATGTTTGCCGGGCCCCACTCTGTGGGTTTCCTCCCTGCTGGTTTCCTGTCTCTCACAGATGGGATGCTAACATTCCAGTCTGTCACCAGCTGCCACTTAACTAGGGTGGGGAGTCCCTGCAGCCTTGTTTAATTAAGCCTGGCAGAGAGCAGAGGAAGTCAGGACATTGAAGCAGAGGAAGGTGACTGTTACCCTAGGAGGGCAGGGATTGTCATCCCCATGGGAGAAGGGGCCCAGGACTGCAGGGTGAGCATGGAAGGGCAGCCCCCCTGGTGAGGACAGGCCAGCAGGCACCAGGTGCAGGGACGGCCAGAGAACATGGGGGTGGGCCAGACCTACATCCTGCTTGGCAGGGCTTATGTGGTAAACAGACAGACAGAAGGGCTGGGGACCATGGGCTCTGTCCTCTGCAGGGCCAGGCTCCCAGCACAGCAGGTCCCCACAGGGAGCTAGACTGTGTTGGAGACCAGTGGCTGGGAGAGATGTGCTCCCAGAGACATGTGTGCATCACTGAGAGCGTGCTAAGCCCCAAGCACCTGCTCATTACTGTGTCCATCTGTCCCAACTGACCCAGGGTTACTTCCGGGCAAACCCTCCCTGAGTGTGGCTGTCCTGTCTGCCTTGGGAGAGTCCCCAGCAAGGAACCTGTGTGCCAGAAGCCTCCTGGGGAGGTGGTGAGGGACCAAGCGCAGTCACAGGGCCACAGTGTGCCGGGGACCCAAGGATATCGGGTCCGACCAGCTGACATCAAGTCAATCAGTTGAGTGCGGAAAAGCCTCAGTTAGCTCAGGCCCTTCTGAGCAAGGACAGAGGGGACAAGGGACATCAGTATACAGACCACCACTGCTGGGCCCCCATGATGGCAGCCTTGAGTTCAGAGTGGCCGTGGAGACCCAGACCTCAGGGAAAGGGAAGGGAGAGTTCCTGTGGACAGCTCAGGAGCCCAGGGTCCACACCTGCCTGGCTCCCATGATCGTGTCCCAGGAGCGCTGTCCAGCTCATGAGAAGGTTCCTCTAGTAGGAGTCTGCAGTCACCCACACTCCGGAGGCCCTGAGCCTGACAGGTGTCCCCAGCTGAGTTCCATCTGCCACCTGCAGCCCTGGTCACCTCTGGCCACCATAGGCAAATGAATGCACGTAATGCCACAGCCTTGGGGCCCAGAGCAGTTGGCCTCCCTCAGTGATGCGTCCTGGAGTTCCCAAAGCATCCAGGACCTGAGCAGCTGCTGGTGCCCCAGGCCGTGGTGAAGGAACAGGGATACAAGGTGCCATGGGACAGCCTGACCCTTCCATCCCCTCCTCTCCGCTTCCCTCTCCTCCTCCCCTCTGCTCCCTCCTTTCTCTCTTTTTCTCCCCCCTCAATCCGATTCCCTCCTCCTTTTTGCTCTTTCCTTCCCCCTTCTGTCCATCTGCCCACTTCTCCTCTCTCCTCCTCTCTGAGAAGCAGCACCCCTGACCTCTCCCCCGGTCCCCCGCTGCCGTGGGGCCTCCGAGTTGCATCCTCCGTGTGCAGCAATAGTTTTGGGCACATCAGATCCTGGGTGCTGTCCAGCTCATGAGAAAGGTGACAGCATCTGGGCGAGACTCCCCAGGGGCCCCAGAAGGCCTGGCCTGGCCCCACAAGCCACTGCTCCCACAGAAGCTTTGCTTCCCACACAGTCCAGGGGACGCTGCTGCATGAGGGTGCGACCAGGGCATCAACGAGTGAGGGGCTAAAGAACTGTCCAGGGGGCTACTGGGCAGCCGTGGCTGCTCTGCCTGGGGGAATGTTGTGGCAGCCATTGTCTGGAGCATCAGCTCTCCTTCCTGCTTCCCAGTAGGACAGACCCCAGGGTGCCAGGCACTATGTGCTGCACAGTGGGAAGGCTCGGGAGTACCTGTAGCTGCAGCTGCCTGCACCTTCCAAGGTCCAGCCACACACAGGATGGCATCGTGCCTCTAGAGGAGCCACTGGACTGTGTCTCATGCAGTGGGCACCTAAACCGGAGAGCCCTTCCTGTGGAAATCCTCCCTGTTGGCCCCGAGCCTGTCTGCTGTCCCGACCCTGGCCCTGTCTGGCCGCAGCTGACACCAGGAAGCCAGAAGCTCTGGGGCGAGCTGGTTCCAGGCCGCAGCACGTTTGAGGAGCCCACTGCCCACTTCCCCCAACACGAGCAAGGCCATGGAAGGGAAATGATACCAGTGGACGCCTGTAAGGACTCAGGACAGCGAGCACTCACTGTGTCTTGTGGTAACACGAGAGCCAGAGGGGTCAGTGATAGCCTGAGGCCACACAGCCCAGTTCCCCACCACTTCAGCAGAAGCACGGGCAGCTCTCTCAGCAAGGCTGCAACTCAGCTTCCATGCCATCTGCCTCTTGTCCCTTCTCCTGTGCACGCACTCTTCCCACTGACCAAACCCCAACCGCTCAGTCCAGGAATGTGCACCCAGTCTGCCACTGCTGGACTGCATAACAGGGTAGAAAAAAATCCCACACCCCAGAAAACAGAAATCCCCTGGGTTTTCCAGAGACAGGTGGGTTCTGGGTCTGGGCAGGGCCTTCCCAGCACCAGTATCAAGAAAGCTACGGCTGGAAAAATCCTTTTTTCCATCAGAGTGTGCTTTACTCCTCCTCTATTCATGGCCTTTTCAACCCACGAGACCTCCTAGACAAAAACAAAATAAAACAAAAAAACACACAAAAATCTTCAAAACCTCTCATCTGGGACTGGTGGTGCATGGTCTGTCTTCCTAGAACTGTGGGAGGCTGAGACAGGAGGATTGCAAATAGCTCAGTGCAAAGGCCCTAAGTTCAATTCCCAGTATTGCAAGCAAACAAACCACCTCTCGCCAGAGTGCTTCTGCCTCTCAGGGAAAACTCAAGCCCTGCTTGGGTGGAGCTACTTGGGACAAAGCCCTCTTCTACCACCTGCCACCACAGGCCACCCAGCAACAAAAGGACTGGCCAGCATGGGGGAAATTGTTGGCTGGCCCTTGGGAGCCTTTTGGCCCCCAATCCCAGCTCCATGCAGAACTGATAAGGAATGGGGACCCAGCGACACACTGGTCCTTGGCAGGAGGCGTGGCTGCAGGGACTGTCACCAGCCACACAAAGTCGCACTGTCTCCCACGCCGTGCTGAGCAAGTGCAGGTGCCGTGGGTGTCCAGGAGAAGTGGGCGCTTGCTTTGTGATTGTGCAAACACAAGATGCCACGGGGTTGCTCAGCGAGCGTCACACTCCCTGGGAGTTAAGGTGCCTGAGCACATTCCCGGACCAACAGAGATGGGTCCAGGGCTCCATGCAGGGCCGTCTTGCCTTTGCTTTCTTCACTCTCCAGCCACCTGCTAGCCAGGTGGCCAGGCCGGGAGGAAGGCTCCTCCACTAGGCTGAGGATGACAATGTGGCTGTGGCATAAACGGGGGCCACACATACACAGGGCAGCTCAGGTCCCGCAGGGAGAGTCGGACCTGATGTCGCCCAAGTCTCTCTCCTGCACTTGCCAATTCCTGCTCCCTCTGGACCCCTGGCACCAGATGGCCTGGCACCATCTCGTGGGGAAATGGTCAGCAGAGACTGCCCACCCATGTACCCCTGCTCCTATCACTGCACCCGAGAGTGTCTTCTAGCCATGGCACCCGGGTGCAGCCCCTCCCTGCCCACAGATGCACAGCTACCACAGCCCCAACAAGCCACTGGGGTGGCCTAGGGGCCTCGCTGTCCCTGCAGGAGGAACAGAGGTGCCCAGGAGTAAGAGGAAAGCAAGGACCAGATCCTGCTCCCTTGGGGTCTCTAATGTCACCAGCTGGAACAGGGTGAGGCAGGCAGTCACAGCAGCCCCCGCCCCCTTGAGAACAGCAGGGTTCAGAATTCTCCAGAGCTCCTGAGCACAGTCTCAGCTGTCCAAGAGCCAAAGGCGACTCACCTGGCAGGAACCTGGTCCACAGACCCAGGACCTCGGAGCTGGGTCTGGCTAGCACCATCGACATCTAAGAACACAGCCCCAGGGGGGACATTTCCAAGGCCGGATGAAGGGACCAAGGTGACAACAGATGCACCCCTTCAAGGGTATATGTGTGGGGTGCAGAAGTGGGGCCAGAAGGGCCGAGGGCGGCCCCAAGAAGGTGCACTTATACCTGCTGGGAAGCTGGGGTGCAGGGTTCTCCTGGGTGACTTTCACCCACCAGTAGAGTTGCTGCCTGCCCCTCACTCCACATTTCCCACTGTGCTTTGCTGCCAGGGCCACAGCCTCCATGGCCACCTGCAGCGGGCAACGGTCCGGGAAATGGCTGAGGGTGGTGCCTTGCTCCCTGGGATCTG